CGACACAGCCAATGCCTCCGCTATGGCCATCGACGATCGAAGCGTCAGTCTCGACGACGCCCGTCTCGGTGAGGTTGACGCACGGCCCATTGCTGCCCGCGTTGGTGCATGCGGCGTCTTCGAGGACGTGGACTGCGGCGGTTGCGGCTGTCGTCGCCGACGCACCATCACGAAGGAGACGCCCCGCAGTCTCAAGAGCGTCGCGCATGCTAGCCTCGGCCAGCGCTGTCGAGGCTGCGTCGGCCGCGTGGCGGCCCGCTCCAATGTGCACGGCCACGGCCCACATGTTGTGGTTCGATGGCAGCTGGCGTCCGGATATTAATCCGGACAAATGTGCTGGCAGCACGAGCGGCAAGCGACGTTCCCACGTTCGTGCCTGATGGTGTACCGTGTTCGAGCCTCTCGGAACCATTTACTATCATCCAAAGAGCCAGCTAGACCGTAGAGCAAACACCGGAAGACAATTTCGCACGTGGTGGAAGCAAGCCGACATCAGGTGTTGATGTCGTCCGTCCATAGTGCCTTGGTGCCGGCAGTGCCATGCCGATGGAGCCTTCTTGCGGGTGCTCAAGGTGGCAGCGACGCTGTAGCTCGTGCTCATCGTTGCACGGCGGCGGCCGTTGCTCGAGGGCGTGATGCGATGACTGGTCTCGGTGGTTGCAACTGAAAACCAACGAGACCAGTCATCGCATCACGCACCCGACGACGCATTTCGGCTCTTTTAAGCCGACATGCGTCGTCGTCTTCTTCACAAATCGATGATCAAAGTTCACCGTCGACACGCCTCTTATTGATAAGTTCGAGGTGAGCACTCCGTAGTACGATTGCCCTCCCGCTCGACGACATGCACAAATGCTCGATTCAAACGGCGCGTCATTATGTAAAAGTTGAATCCGAAGAGGACCGCAGTCAACGATGAGCGAAACGAGACAAGATAGGCAATGGCCCCTTCCGCCATGTCTACACATCAACCACGGCGACGGCCAATCATGCACCTCAGCTATATCAGCGATGCCTCACCTGTGCACCCAGACGAGCCACGTCACGGTCCAAATTCAAATTTATCTTCGCTAATCGAGAGCGTCCAGAGGGAACCTGGCTGCGGTTTACCACTTCAATCGCTCACCGGATTGCTGATTATTACTTGCGGTGGCGACCAGAGATGCGGTGTAGCGCTCGCGTCATGCGTCTTGCCCAATAGCCCAATCGCCGACCAAGATAATTCCATGTCGATGAATTCTGAAATGGTGCTTCACTCGCCTTCGAGTTGAAGTTGTACCTCTAGCAAATGATATTCATGCCGCCTAGCCCTTGCTCGCGACAAGGCGTCCTGAGTGTTTTGAAAGCATACATCAGAATCGCATTGCCGGACAAGGAGCAAGCTAGTTTGTGGGTTGAATACTCAAACCCAAGTACCAACAACTCGTAGGTACTAATAAGAGGATACACATGAATTACTTGGCACCTTGCATTTGAGGTCTTCAAGTATTAATTTTACGAGACTTGCGAATGCGATTGGCTGCTGCTTGTGACAAGGCGCGGATGCGGACACAAACTGACTGCGATGGTCACGATCACCGAAGTGGCGACCGCGGACGCCTTTATGGCGGCGACGCTGGCGCTTCGCCTCGAGGCGCTCGAAGCCAGCAACCTCATTACCATGTCCATGACGCTGTCGCCGCCGACGCCGACCAAGACCAAGTGGTTCTATCTCGTCTCCGGTGACGGCGACGACGCGCCAACGTCCTTTGCAGTGCTGACGGCAAACCAAGGTCCGTCGCTCGGACCCAAGATGACGTATGACCAAGCGTTTGCGCTGGGCGAGTACGTCGCGACGCAAGGTGTGACGTCCGTGACCGAGATCCACGGTTTCGAACCCAGCACCAAGGCGTTCGTTGCCGGCTACCAGCAAGTGCATCCCGACACCACGTGGCGCACGGGCGGCGAACCTGGTCTTGTCTACCGCCTTGGCGCATTGACGCCGCCAGAAAACGCCATCGGGGCGCTGGTGCCGGCCACGGACGCCGACATCGAGCCCCTCGTCGACTGGATGATCGCGTTCAAGATGGACTGCTACGGGTCGGAACTGCCGCGCGCGGCCGCGACCGCGACTGTCACGTCGTCGATTGCCAGCGGCCGCATGTTCTTCTATGTCGTCGACGAGACACGTGTGGGCTTTGGCGCGTATGCGCCGCCAATGACGACGGCCGACACGACTGTGTACATGCTCGGACCGATCTACATTGTGCCATCGGCGCGGCGTCGGGGCCATGCAAAGGCGCTCACATCCGCCCTCGCCCTGCATGTCGAAACGATTTGCCCGACGAAGGAGATTGCGCACATGCTTATTTCCGGTGCGGACAACTTGGCGTCCAACCAAACGTATCGGAGCCTCGGGTTCGAGCCCGTCGGCCTCCTCGTTGGCTACTCGCTCGAAGCAACGCCATAGTTCTCGACGCAACAGTACTATCGCTCGCTTAACGACTGCTAATATCCACCTGACTAATATCCGACATATGCCCACCGAAGGATAGCGGTAAGTAGACCAATGAGCTCGATCATGATCGACTCAAACGAGATCGTCATTCCAGTACACTGCATTATATGTGTTCTTTCACGAAAAATATGCTACGAACATGGACATCATATCCGGCGCGTGCGTAGTGTTTATACCATGGTAGATACGTTAGCGCCACCGAGGTCTAGTCTTAGGATAGCCTTAGTCTTGGCGAACGAGTCTCTCTCTCGCACCAAGCAGGATCTGGATAAAGATGGACGCTCGTGGCGATCTTTTAAGATACGCCTGCATGGCGACCTTCAACAGCCAGCATATCCCACCAATCGACCAGCGTAGAAAAAGTCTCGTAGTCATCAAGGCAGCGCGCGACGTGCACACCATTCATCTAGGCGGTCATTGTGAGTGGCCTCGAAGCGGACGATCCGGCGTGCTAATACATGCTTGACTGTACCCGCTGATAAGCAAGAGAAACGAGCCCAGCATCGATCCCTTTCACACACCCAACGCTGTCACGAGCACGGACAATGGCCATTCCGCAAGAGACACGCTTTTCACATATATAATGCGACTCAGTTGTGCTAGTACGCATTGTACTTGGCATTCCACGACTGGACTTTGGGGTGGTCGCGCACGGCGTCGTGGATGGCGCGCAAGTGCGCGCACTTGTCGATGAACGTCGTGTCCAAGAACGCCAAGCGGCTCGACTTGAAGGTCGCCATGAGCGCGTAGAGAGCAATGTCCGTGATGGTCATCGTCTCCCCGAGCACGAAGACGCCCTTCGTCATCGCGATCCGCTTCTCGAGGAGGCCAAAGAGCTTGGGCAGCGTCGTCTGCGAGAGCTCGGTCGCCATGGCCTTTTGACGGACCGCGTCTTTTTCGTAGACCGCGGCGATTGTCGTCTTGACAATGTCGTCTTCAAAGGCAAGGATCTCGTCGACGCGCAGCGCGTCGAGCGCGTCGGACGGGTACATGCCCGTGAGCTTTCCGACGTAGCGTGCGAGGCAGTGGCTCTGCGCGTACTCGACGCCGTTGATCGTGAGCGTCGGCATCTGCTCAAAGGGGAACTCGGCCTTCCGGCGCAGAAACATCTCCATCGTGAGGCGCTCGTCCTTGAACGGAATGTCGTGGATGAAGAGGAGGAGCCGAATGAGCTCGGCGCGCCCGGGAATCGGAAAGTAGGTGAGCTTCAGCGTCGGGTGCGTGGGGTGCATGGCGCTCTCAATGGAAAAAAAGTAAAGTGAACAAGGGCGTTGGAGCGTTGGGACCAAGGTGTGGAGTGCGTCGACATGGGTGGCATATCGTCGCGCGTGGCAGGTGCAAAGCCATTACGCCATCGAACTCGTTGCAAGAACGTCCGTCGTGGGCACGTGGCGGCGCCATCTGGTAGTAGCTCATAGCGACAGACGCAGTGCTTGCAAACCGGGAGATATATATGTTGCGACTGGATCGGGGACAAGGGACTTGGATCGATGCGTGAGAAGGTGAAATGAGAGTGTCGAGCGTCATTGGTACAACCGATTTGGTGCGCACACTATACATTGCCCCACAATGGTCGTACGGCGTACACATCACAATATCTACATATTGCCTGCTCTGGCGAAGGCCCTGACAGCATTGCAGTACAGTGCACGGCGAGGTGTGTCGGCCTTCGAAGCTGCTTGGGTGTAGGGTGTGAGTCACACTTGAAGCATTTCAGAAACGCTAGCAAAAGTTGCCCAGCACCGCAGTGCATGGACTGTCTCTGTGGCGTAGATCCTCATGTTGATTAAAACAGTGTGCCGAAAGAAGCAAGCAACGAGCTGTGCTTTGCCCGCCACCCGATGTGCAGCATATCCACGCCGTTCGAAGCAGTGTTACCACGGTTGAGCAGAGCAGAGAGACGCCACTATGGGCAGAGGTTAAGATCCCTGCGCTTCCTCGCGCGTGCTGCAGTGCAGGAATGCACCTACCGGTAGCTATGCACCCAGAAGTACCTCCGCCACCTCCTGACGCAACGTGCAAAGCGCCGACAACACATCTCCACATTGCGACTTGTTCCCAGTCCACTGAGAAGGCTCGGCCAGCGGAAGTGCCGAGTCTCGTCGTCTCCATGCTCAGTATCAATGAGGCACCTTGCGACGGCCGGTTCTGGTTCTTCTTCCTCGGTTGTATTTGCCTCGGCCGAGCGCTTCAATACCCCATCTGCTCGTTTCTTACTTTTCATTGCATACCGCCGCCTCGACAACAGCTGCTGCGACAGTTGGTGCCTTGGACGATTGTGTTTGGTAACAGGTCAGCTCCCTTCATAAGCACTCCCGCACTTTGCTATCCTTTGTCGTCATTAAAGAATCTACGTTCATCGATGGCATCCGAGTGCAACTGTGTCGTCAACGCATTGTACTGTACAAGCCATCTGTTTCGCAACATCAGCCACTCGACGGTCCACACGAAAACGACACATCGACAGTTTTGATAGTTGTAGGCGACTAATCCTGGTAGGAACGTTTACGTGGTGTACCAGCATCCCAGGGGATTAATTCGTACATTCTGGCCAACCCATTGGCTATCAGGGGGGTGACAACCCCTAAAAAAAATGGCTCTTGTGTTGCTTTTTGCCAGACATCCAGCCAATCAGCGAGCTTTAACCTCGTGACATACATTCCTAACCCACGTGGTTGCCGTTCGACGAATCAAATTGTTTTGCACCCTAAATCAACCAATCAGCTCGAATCAGAACGCAGAAATCGAGCGTGCTTGAACGCGCGGAGGCCAATCGAAACGCCAATTGGCGACTTGCTTGGCTTGTATCTCAAGCTTTCGAGACGTCCAATTCGCATGCAAATCGCCGCTGAACTGCATGAGCTGTGCTCGGAAAGGATGATACGGCGTTGTGATAGGCCGAATCGAAATCATTTTGACCAATAAGAAACCGTATCCGGATAAAAAGAGTTTATATTGCCATCAACTCGCGACTTCCCGCTTCATTTGCTAGCTCGCAGCTTGCTGAACTGGCGCAATGGGGAGGAAGACCAGCGTCACTGAGGTCTGTGGCGAATGTGGAAAGACCAAGCACACCGTGTCCACGCACGTCAAAAGCGGTCGACGCATGTGCGCCGTTTGCCGCGGTCTCCTTACGACTCCGAGGCCTCCACTTGTCGACACGGCTTCCCTCGTCACCGAGAACCAGCAGCTACATTCCGCCGTGCACATGCAACGACTGCAGCTCAGTGCGCTGCACCAACAAGTATCCCAGTGCCATGCCTCGATGCAATGGCTCGAGCAGAAACTCGACAAGACACAGCAAGACCTCGTGCTTCAGTGCGCCATCACACGCTCAATGAAGGACGAGAAGGGAGCTCTTGCCAAGGCGCTCCAGGCTGCGACCGTGTCAAACGACGAGCAAAAGGCGACGATTACCTCAGCCCACGAGACCGTCAAAGCCATCGATCTTTCAAGAGCGCAGTGAGCCGCGATCTGTTGATGGCGACGGACCCACGACCGTTGCCTTGGCCGTTGCTCGGTTCCGGGCTGGGTTCCGGGTATGGAGCGTTTGCGCGTATTCGGTCAAATACAAAAACGTAATCGACACTTCGACGCCCTTCTTCAGACACTTGCTGCTTTAAAAAGTCAAACACTCGATTGCGTTAAATGAGTTTGACCTTGATTCGTAATCATGGGTACAGTGGTACAACTCCTTCCGGCCCAAAAGGCACTTCTTCAATTGGGTGGGTTGTCACCCCCTGATTGGCTATATATCAAGCCATTTTGACCAATGAAACGCAGTTTCATTAGTCTGAGCCAATCATATCGCGCCAAAAGCGTCCTGTTAAGTGCGATTTAGGAATTCCTGTTAAGTGCTGTCACATCGCCGGACGTTATACTTGAATAAAGTAATACAATTTCTATAAAGTGCGATGGCGTACTTGACTGAAATTCACGCAACTTTCCGATTAGGTGCGAATATGACAGCGCGCGACGACTGCAGCAAGCGACGACGGCGCGTTGGCCCGGGAAAAGTCTGCGCACCTTCGCTGCGCTGCGGTGCGCAGACTTTTGTCTAGGCCAACGCGCCGTCGTCGCAAATACCGGTAAACAACGCTTCGCATTCAAAAGTTCCTACCAGCTCACCCCGCACGGGACCTGTTATTCTCAGGCTTAGCCGAGTTCCTACTGGCATGTCACGAAAGCCGACTACTCGGACTTGCTCCGCTCGACCTGCTGGGCGTAATATGCTTGAACCTTTGGATGGCCGTGCAGCGAGGTGTAGATGGCGCGCCAGTGCGGGTAGTCGTCGACGAACGCAGTGTCTATGGGCGTGAATCGTCCGGATTGGAACGTAGCAAAGAGCACATACAGCGTGACATCGGCAATCGTCAGGGTCTCGCCCAGCACATACGTCCCTTTGGTCACCGCCAGACGTCGTTCCAGCAGCGCAAATAGGTGCGGCAGCTTGCTGCTCGCGAGCTCTCTTGCGAGCGCCGTCTTGCGCACAATGTCTTGCTCGCGGAGCATCGGGATTAACGCCTGTACCACGTCTTCCTGAAACGAGAGCATCTCGTCGACGCGCAGCGCGTCGATCGGGTCGGATGGGTACATGCCCGTGAGCTTCCCGACGTAGCGCGCGAGGCTGTGGCCTTGAGCAAACTCGACGCCGTTGATCGTGAGCGTCGGCACTTGCTCAAACGGGAACGACGCCTTGCGCGCCGCAAACGCGTCCCGGGTCAGGCGCTCGTCTTCGAAAGGGATGTCGTGCAGCGACAGCACGAGGCGAATGAGCTCGGCGCGCCCCGGCATGTCGAAATACGTGAGCTTCAAGCTCGGGATCGCATGGTTCGTCGTCATTGGAGCCAAAAGGCAAAGTGGCCAAGTCGGCCGTTGGTCACCGAAGCCTAGTGAAACCCCGCGGCTTCGATGCACGCAGACGATGCATTCGATCGTGTTCGATTCTGGCCCAACACCAAGCATCGGGCATCGGAACCTGATATTATTCTTGTCGTTGCGCAAGTTAAAGCGCGTGAGAACCGCAGGAAGATATCAACTTGTGGCAAGTCGTCCAGTCGCGTCGAATCTCGCGATCAGACACCCAGAAGCTGAGACGTGGCGTTTCTTCGGCGAGCAGGAAGCTCTTCATAGTTGGATCGTTGCGGACTGTGCCCAACATGGGGAACACAAATCAGATCTGTTTAGGAAAACCCGTTTGTCCACAGAGTACATATATTGTCGGAAGGAGCACTCTGATATCGTCTGAGTAGACCAAAATAGTAAAACTAAAACGCAGCACCTGGGTGCATTGAGAGATTGAAGTGCAGTGGCATCAGGTTCGTCACCCTCAGCGCCAAGGCAAAGAGTACGCCCAAGCAGAGACAGCAAGCGAGATGTGGTTTGCATGATAACGTTGATACATTGCGAAAACAGCACTGCCGTAGCTTTCCTGGCTAAACGCGGGGTGCGGAGCTCGACGAAGGGTCGACGCATTCGTGTAGTATACTAGTACACGCTGCGACGTGGATGAGTCACCTTGGCATGGATCCACGTCCTCGTCGCATTTTAACGTGGATTTCTATATTACAATGGCATCGCATCCGCATAAATCAAGGCGTGGATAGAACACGAAATAGTACGTGGAATACGTGGGCTCAGGTCTCCGTGTTTGTGTTCCAATCCCCGACTTTTTCACGGGCCAATTAGAGAGCGGCTCGACGACGCTATCGAGAGCAGCCCGCCATGTCGTCGTCCGAGGCCGAAGCCGAAGCCGACCTCATCCGACAGAAGAAGGAGCACATGAAGATGCGCAACTTTATGAAGAAGCAGCGCATGCGCGAGCGCTACGACGCTGAGAAAGCGGCGCTCCAGAAGCAGGTCGACGCCCTCGGCGCCTCGCTCGCCTCGCTCTCGTCGCCCGGCGCCGCCGCCGCCCGTGCACTCCTTAAACAGCTGCGCGCCGACTGCCGCAGCGCGCGCGAGCTCAGCCAAACCATGGCATCCTGGGTCGCAACCATGTGCAACCGTAGTCTGCCGATGCCGGGCACGCCGTTTGGCTGGACCGAGACGTCACTTTTGGCCGACCCGACAGCGCGCAAGCTGGGCCTGGACTGGTTCAGCCAGCACCTGTACCACAACACGGAGCGCATGCTGGCGTGTGCGCAGATGCCAAGTGTTGGGACGTTCATCGACAGTATCTTTCTGGAGGTTGGTGACGGCTTTTGCGACATTATCGCGCGCCTGCAAATCGAGTACGAGCTGCCGCTGCACGAGGCCCATGCTGCGCTGCGCCCGCACATGTGGTCGAAATTCCGCGGCGACACGGCACCTTTCTTCTCCGAGCTTCTCGACCACGAGGTACGCTCTAGTCTCGCAGATGCATGGATCATCCATCCATCATACGTGCTGTTGTAGATGACCACTGCAATCGCACCGGACCAAATGATCTATCGACGCTCTGTGCTTGACGAGAACGAGTCAATGTACTGTGTGTGCCGCGAGTTTGCATCCGAGGACCGCGTTGTCTATCTCATGGGCAACTTCACGCAGGACGAACGGCTGCCGCACTGCAGTCGGTCTCGACCCCGCCTGTTTTGGTATGTGTCGCCATCGTACTCTTCGTACTCTTGACTCGAATGCTAGGTACATCCTCGAGCGCACGGGCCAAAACACGTCCCGACTACGAGCAATGCTCTACAACGCGCCGTACCAGTTTTTCGGCCACAGGCAACGAATGCGCGAGCACCTCGCGACAAGGATGGAGACAAGTGGTATCGACGACGACGCGCTGTTTTCCATCTACCAAGACGCGGTGCGCAAGGAGATTGCGCCCGCGTTGCGCGAAGGAATGATAGCGCTCCGCATCGAGTAGCGCCAATGCACACAAGTCTACCTGGTGGACAGAGATGCTTTCACCCGTGCCTTGTTCTTTCTCGCAATAGGACCTGATAGGGACCTTAGAAAAAGTGCATATGAGTCTCGATTTATGAAAATATAACCTGCGTACGATCTCGAGCGAGCTATCCCTCGGCGAGTGGGGTCCACCACGTGATGGAACTCTCCGTACGCAGCTCACTCCCAATGACCGAGTACTGGTGCCAACTCCCACGTAGCACTACGTGCGCGAAGTCTTTGTAAGGAAGATAACGCGGAGCACGCTGATATATACATAACCATGCGCCGACACACACTGACATGCACTGGCGACCAACTTCAGGAGGCAACCGCCGTTCCAACAGGAGCAAATTACCGTTGTGGACGACAAAAACTAGAGCGCTTCTTGACATGCACCATCTCTGAATTTCGAACGCGAGAGTTTGGCGCTGTAGCATTGCAAGTGGTACGGACAGCGAGATATTGAAGTCGTCCAATCGACGTCCTTGCTGCAATGTTCACAGCAAGCGTGACTGTTGAGACCCGCTACGTCTGCGCAACGAGGGTGGTGGCGGTGAGGTGCTCAAGAGGAGTGGGAATGAAGCGTGACTGAATGAAGACGTGCTACAAGATCCCAACCTCAACCTACTCATGGAGAAGATGTCGTTGAGCTTCAACTTGAACCGTATGCACCACTGCAAACACACGTGTCGTGTAGAGGACATGGACAGAATTCGCAACCGTGCCACACAAATGTTGTGTCTAGTAGCAAACTAGCGCGTCTACTCGAGGCGGTTGACGAGCTTGCGCTTTCGGCGCCAGCGCCAGCGCAACGACGAGAGGTGGTCATCGCCTTCGGTGCCAAAGCAGAGGTTGTCGAGGAGCGCGTAGAGCGCGCCGCCGTACCGCGTGCGCATCCAGTGGACAAAGAGAACCTCAAAGTTGGTCGCGTGCTGCTCGAGGACGTACGAGGCAAAGCAAATGAGGTAAAAGTACCGCTCGAGGTAGTTCACTAGCCACCATGTCCTCAGCCTCATCCATACTAGTCATGAGAAATAACGTACTGGCGCGCTGCATAAAGTAGTCTTGCTTGGCGCTCGGGAGACCGACCTCTTTCGTCATCTCCCGGCACTGGTCGATGCACTCGCGGAGGTTCTGCACATGGTCCGCAGTGTCAATGGCCTCGTCCACGAGCAAGAGACTCGTCGCGCCGTTCTCGAGCAGTGACACGAGCGCGTCAATGTTATGAAAACGCGTCTTGTGCCCGTCGCCGAGCGTCACCTGCCCCATGACGACGGCCCGCAGCATGTACATGCAGACAAGCGCTGTCGTCGTCCGGCCGCGGCCCATCTGGCAGTTGCACACAATCGCCGTGTGGCCATCGACAGCACCCGTCTTTTCGGCGCGGAAGATGGGCACCAGCAGCCGCACGAGGTCGTCGAGGTCCTTCTCTTCCGGCGCGATCTCGTCCGAAACCTAATGCAATCCTTTTTTCAGCAGTGCGTGAAAGTCGAGCAGAAAGGGACCGGAATGCGGGCGTAGCGCACGTCGTAGCCTTGATGCTTCGCCGCCGCGTACACTTCGTCGAGTGTCTTGATGTCGGTCTCGGGCTGGATCGCATCAAAGCGCTCGGCGGTGATGAGCGGCTGCGGCTCGCAGAGGTGCATGAACAAGCCGTTCGAGGCCTGCACTTTCGCGATGAGCTCCGTCTTGAGCGTCGCTTCAATCGCTGTGATCTCGTCGACTTCGATGCCGGGATATTCGACGTTGTGGAAGACGTCGTCGCGCTTCCGGACCGCGTACGGCTTGCCCGCCACGTACAAGACGACCTCTTCACGCAAATTGATCCAAATGACGCGGCGGTGGCCGAGGACGTCGCGGAGATGAGCCAAGACATCGACGATCCCGAGCTCGAGGCACTAGCCACTGTCGTCATTCTCACGCTACACTCGATAAGAGAGAGGGGGTACCTGCGCCGTGCCAAAGAGCGGCATGCCACCGAGCTGGCGGTAATTCGGGACGTTGGGGCCGAGCACGAGAGGAAGGCGGCTGAGGCCAGGAAAGTGGTCAAACTTGAGAATGTTGTTGTGGAGCACCTTGCTGGACGGATACGTGGCGCCGCCAAGGTCGTCGAGAAGGCGGAAGAGGTCAGGGTGGAGCTGAAGCCAGCTCGAGAAACTCTGCACGTGGGCCTCCAGCAGATACTGGCCAAACATGATAAAGTAAAAGTAGCGCTCGAGGAGGCGACACGCGCGGTGCTACATCATGCCATGAGATTTCTTTTAAATGGAAGGAACACGAGGGTGTACCAAGTAAAAGGAGCGTTTGGCCGGCTTGGCTTCGGCCATGGATCGCTACATGGTCATCGTTCGCGTCCCATTTATATCGAGTTGAGATTATCCCATGCATGTCTACCTGCCGACACTCTTCGATGACGCGTCGGAGGTGGTAGACGGCCGCACAGTCGTCGATCGCCGCGTCAATCCAGGCTTTGGCGTGCGTGCCCTGCTCCAGCGTCTCACAGAGCGCCAAAATCACCTACGATTTGCGTCAGACGTACTCAAAGCGACGAGGATAGGTGTCGGGAAGGCAGACCTTGAACGTCCCGAGCGCGTAATCAATCGTGTTCGGGTCGAGCGTGAGCGACCGATGCGAGCGCGTCATCGGCAGTCCGTCCGGAACTTCAACGACCGAGTCGGGCTGCATGACACTCCACTTCAGATACGCGACCGTCATGGCCGTCGTCGTCCGTCCGCGTCCCATCTAGTGACACATCGCTTCTTGATATCGAGTGCACGAGCCATACCTGGCAGTTGAAGACAAATGCAGTGTGCATATCGGCGCGCTGGACGAGGTCGACGAAGGTCTCGACGACGTCTTGCTCGGGAAAGTTCTCACGGTCAATCGGAATGCGGTGGAACGTGATGCTCTCGATCGTTGGATGCTGCAGCGCCTCCATCAATTCGGGCAGCGTGTGCACCTACGACGACAGAATAAGA